ATGTTGCACGCAACCGTATAGGACGTTACATCAAACTGCAGCAGAGTCTTAATTGGTACTTGAGTTAACTAATCAAATCGTGATACTCCAACAACGCACGGCCTGCCAACTTGCATTCTTCACTGCTGTGTCTCTACATACCCTGCTCTTTCTCGTTGAACCAACAGATAACAACAGGGCCCGAATCTCTAACCGGGTATACAGCTAAGATCGTTCAGCCATTGGGCACGGTTTCGGGTTCTTCCATTTCTCTCAAATAACCGAATTGATATGACAGCTCCTACTGACACCACGTCAACATCTTGTTGTAATTTTATATCTTGCTTTCCAAAGGACTTCTTTCTGCCCATTATCGCTTGCTTATAGCTCTTTGCGGCTTATATGTTCCCAAAATGACTCTGTCTAAGCATAATTTCCACCTCAGACACCAAGACACGTCATCGCAAGACGATGATCATGACCCTCCATATACACGTCGAAAGCTGCTCGTCCTGTCTTACAAGGACCTCACAATTCTGGCCCTCACTGCTGTCATAATAATGGTAGTCGGCTCATCACTATGGGTTCGAGAAAGATCCGTCTATGCAGATTCAAGCTACAGTACATAATCTCAAAATCGGTCCCTGATGTATAAACGCTGATATCCTAAAGCTGGAATTCATACACACCCTAAGAAATGGGTCACTTTGGAATGGTGGTCGCTATACAGCGTCACCCACCAGAATCAGACAACAGCAGTCGACGCCGCCTGGGAGGCTTTACAGCCAACTCATGGAATTGTCGCTGTTGATTCGCAATGGGCCGACGAGCGACAGCTTCTGCCATCAATGGAGTTGCCTGGCGACACGTCTAAGCGAGTGTATATACTCGAAGCTTATCACATGCTTCATTGTCTGGTATTATGAAAACCGGGGTTGTTTCCCATGCATAATTGGCTGACACGTTGTTAGAAAATACTACGGAAGACCTTTTACCAGATTCTCAGGCGAGAATCTACCACTTTCAAGCTGCAGCATTCAAACCATTGCTTTGACGCTTTGAGGCAGAACATCATGTGCAACGCTGACGATACTCCTTTGTACACTTGGAATCGTAGGACAGCTGGAGATGGACAACCTCGAAAATGTCGAGACTGGAATATTCTGCGTGACTGGGCTTCCGAGCACAAAGCCTGCTACCGTAATATTGATGGCAGGGAGGGAGGTCAATTCATCCAATGCGACGATGAAGTCAATGCTGACGACGGCTTGATCGTGGAGAGCTTTGACAAACTCTAAGTTACAAGTCTGAGCTGCTAGGCCTGGGGCGCTCAGAAAGTCATGCACTATTCGCCTGGTTTCAGCATGGTGAAATAAGGACGGACAGCAATTACTTGGTAATAGTTATCACATCCTTCTCTAGGCGCACAATCTCAAGCCGCTCAGCATTTGTGATAGTGTTGAGTATGGGCAAGGCTACAGGCTAAATTGTACAGTGCTCAGGCATTCTATGATTATATCAGCAAATGCTCGAACCCTCCGAGCAAGATATTACTGATTTGGTATCCTTCCTTGTTGAGAATAGCGTTTCGGCGTCATCAAGAACATCAGAATCTAGTATGAAAGCAAACTTTACTAAAAGATATTAAGCTAATTATTACAACTATAAATAAATATGCAAAGAGCATCATTTGATAGCTCCTTAAAATTCTATATTTAGAAGGCAGACCATGTTCTTTAAGTATCGGCCAACATGGTCCAACAAATTTGCTTGTGAAGTCCACTGCTTCATGCGCTTGGTGAGGTCCAATATTTCGTTCCCCAAGCAGATTGGACAACGACCTGCAATAATGATGCATCCACGGAAGGAAAATATCTCGCATCGATGATTTAATAACAACTGGAAATATGCCACGCAGTAAATTGACCGCTGGTAATCGGGAATCCATTGAGGGCAGTCATACCCATAATGAGCCGCTTTGCAAGCGATATGTCTCTTGACACGTTCTTGTCGCCGGCACCCATGGATATTGTTCGCTTTTTGGTGATCTCCAGATCTCCTGCGCAGTTAGCAAAAGGTGCTGAAAAGTGAGAGCAAAATGGGCAAACTTTGCCACGATTTTGTGGTAATCAAGAACACGTCACCGACCCTCGTTGGTAGGTTGTTCGCCAGGCAAGTAACAGGTAATGTCTGTTCGGCATGGCTGACGCTGACGCCAAGGTAAGCGAGTAAGCCGTCGAAACCCACTGGAAGATCACATCATAACGCAGGTGCCGGTTGGTTAGGTAATATCCGCTGCTGAATATCCATGCGATCAGTTTTAAGATAGCTGCCTAGTTGGAGGATCGGCTTCGCCTCCGCTTCCTGAAGTCCTGCCGCAGATGACCAATTTTTCACAGGGAAGTGGCATGAAATCTTTGCTGAAGGAAACGTAGCGAACACGGATCACCAGAGAGGTGCGTCAGGCTCCAAGCTATTGGTCGAGGTTCTTCGACCCTATAGGTTAGTTTGAGAGATGTCTCATGCCCACGTATTCTGAACCCTGTCAACACAGGCCGCCCCAAGGCAGGCCCGGATGCTTAGCGGACGATCTGTTATTTTTGCGTAGTGCAGTGATCGCGAATGATGGTGTGAACATGTCTCACTCCCGTTCTACGTATCTAGGGTAATCTGACACAGGAAAGTTTGATGTATAGTTTACCGTCCCTCATCGGCCGATCTATCCCCTGTGTCACTGAATGGGCCTTCTTCCTATTTGGGACTAGTACGATTTGCTTATAAAAGGCTAATTATTATAGCTAGAAGACTATAAATAGTATCATTAGAAAGCTAACTCTTCTAGCTTTTAAATGATACTATTTATAGTCTTCTAGCTATAATAATTAGCCTTTTATAAGCAAATCGTACTAGTCCCAAATAGGAAGAAGGCCCATTCAGTGACACAGGGGATAGATCGGCCGATGAGGGACGGTAAACTATACATCAAACTTTCCTGTGTCAGATTACCCTAGATACGTAGAACGGGAGTGAGACATGTTCACACCATCATTCGCGATCACTGCACTACGCAAAAATAACAGATCGTCCGCTAAGCATCCGGGCCTGCCTTGGGGCGGCCTGTGTTGACAGGGTTCAGAATACGTGGGCATGAGACATCTCTCAAACTAACCTATAGGGTCGAAGAACCTCGACCAATAGCTTGGAGCCTGACGCACCTCTCTGGTGATCCGTGTTCGCTACGTTTCCTTCAGCAAAGATTTCATGCCACTTCCCTGTGAAAAATTGGTCATCTGCGGCAGGACTTCAGGAAGCGGAGGCGAAGCCGATCCTCCAACTAGGCAGCTATCTTAAAACTGATCGCATGGATATTCAGCAGCGGATATTACCTAACCAACCGGCACCTGCGTTATGATGTGATCTTCCAGTGGGTTTCGACGGCTTACTCGTTATAGTTGCTATATTAGTATTTCTATATTATTAGTTTCTTTATAGCGTTCCCCTTAAATTCTTTTATTAGGACTAGAACTTTATTTTATTTATATATTTAGTAAAGTTAATAACTAGCTTAGTAGTAGCTATTTATAATTAGAGCTTTAAGCTTTTTTATTTACTAGGGTATTTATTAAGTTTAATTATCTTCTTAGGCTTCTTCTCTTCTAATAAGACTTATAATATAGCTATAATTATCTAAATTTCTCTATACTTAATAGTTTTATATTTTATTTTTAAAAAGATC